TAATTAATAATTGAGTTATTTACGTAAGTTAACAGTTTGGGTGAAAACTGCGCAATTAGGAAATTCTAAAAATGCTCTTTTCTTTTTTATGTGGTTATGTGATCATATTGATTACAATGCTGTATTGTTAATGTGTACTCAAAATTTAATGTCAATGTGGACTATGCTTTTTTTTGAATTCAGGTTTTTTTTTCTAGTCTGCTCTCAGCCAAAACAAAACCTCTCGTTGTGGGCGTCATTCATAAAATCTCAAAAAATCTGTAACATTGTTGCGCTTTCAAAGGTTTTTATTATGCAAGAAACGAACTTCATAGAGCATTCATGTTTCTTTTTATTGGTTGACTGAACGCAGGCATTTTTCAACTGACTATTTGGCAATGACCATTGCAGCTTCCTCTTTTGATAGCATTTTGTCTTCTCATTTCCAGAATTATCCTTTTCATCTTTCAACGTTATGAACTCAGTGATCGTTGGTCAGTCAGTAAAAAAATCTTTCGTGTTGCTCTGCGACGAGAAACACACTGAACATTTGGAAAAGGATTATTTTGAGAGTAGACATGTAAAATACAATAACTGCAGTACTCATTGTAATGCTTGCCTTGATGTTGAACTTGAACACGCGCTGAAAACGTAAATTGTTATTGATTCAGTAAGTCTACCTGTGGACAGATTCATTTGGCCACATGGCCTTCACATGATCAGTTTAGTGAGTTAGTATTAATAACCACAAAATTTATCATCAACAGTTTGATGCATGTGTAATCCACACTAATCACTAGTGGTGTTGGCCGGAACACAGTCGGCAAACTAGACGTTCAAAAAGCAAATAAAATACATATGTAGATATTGTTTTTTTTTTTTTCAAATAACACAACACTTTTAAATTTCAAAGAGATGTTTCGAAACATATCTTTGAAATTTAAAAGTGTTGTGTTATTTTAAAAAAATATTGCATCACTTGTCCTTTTRCGATCATATTGAATTTTATTTATATGCATTAGAAGTTAAATGTGAGTGATTTTCTATTAGATTGCGTTTCTGAGTTTTTCTGCATTAATGAAAACGGTCACCAATATAACGTTTGAATGTTTTCGTCACTACTTTTCCGTACTAGTGTCCCTTATATGGAAGATATTGTAGAAATGTCATGGACATGAAAATGAAATAAAGAAAGGAAMATTATGAAAGTAGAAGCCAGACAACAGAAACGATCGAGTAATTTAGATACATTGACAGCTATAATGAAAATGAATGCAAGGGAAAAAAGCACAATACATTTCGTATTTCTCCTCTAAACTTGAAAATGAAATAGAAATGTTTTTAAAATGAAAACCAGATGAAAGGGGATAATATGTTAATGCGAATACTGAGTTGGAAACTCTGAACGGAAATCATAGAGTTAGGGAAAATAAAACACTCGTAATTCCTAGTCGGCGTACATCCGGTTAAACGCTGGAAACTCAGGCTAGTAATTCCCTGCTAAAGTGCAATGTAAGGTAGATGTTAAGAATACAGGAACAGACTATCATTACTGAATAGTGAAAAAATCAGAATATTTTTCGTAATTACTTGAGATAAAAGGAAAAATTAGAGGAAAAGTAGGTAACAGACCGTCAATAGACAGGAAATACCAGTAAATCTAAAAAAGCTGGTCAAAATTAAAGAGGAAAAAACACAATTTCGCAATTAACGTGCGGTCGCCCGCACTAGATAACAAATCGTGCTTGATATCTCTGGCAAGGTTACATGACCCTTTATCTGTTAACACATCGAGATATTGATCTTTGATAATCACGTTTTAACCAAACATCACGAGATAATAAAAATATTAASAGACATGTTGTTGATATTTTCAAACGCGTTTTGCCCATGTGGCTCTCAAAAGTCTAATCAAAACAAAACATATGTCGGTCACGGCTGATATCAGTTTTATTACAATATCTCTTGGTSTTATAAATACTTATTAAACGATAGCCAAAAACTGCTTTAGAATTTCTTTAAATAATCAATAATTRATTATAAACCTAGCGAGCATTGAAAACGTTAAAAATTATGTCACTTTTATGCTTTCTAAAACTCAATAAATACTTTCWTAAATTRAACCTATTTTCCCCTTGCAGTTAAWTYAAAGTGACAACTCAATRCTTWWAAAAACATAAAAACTTTGTACAATKTTTCTGTAAATTATTGTACATTTTGTATTATAGTTTAGCAAATATTAACACTATTTTGAACAGTTCGGAAGTTCTGGCAAGCATTTAATGGGAAAATTGTATATAGATTTACTATGAAATCGTTTCTATCTATATATGTATGGGTAAGGTACTCTTTGTTATACTGTAGTTTGAGCTTGCAATACAATTTCATGATAGCTTGGAGGATTTTCAAAGAAAAGTGTTTTGTACTTWGGCGGAAGRTCATTYGTCTGYGTGTCTGGTTTCACAATGTTATTAGCTTCATCTCTTTCACTTTTTGGCCTTGTTTTTGGATTAAATAAATATAAATACGGAGGTGGTCCCGAATACTCCTCGGCACTTGGTATTCTAGCGTTTCTAAAGAAGTCATCTGGAATGTCAATAGACGAAATATCCACAGCTACACTGTTTATTGTCGAATTTGAAGCACAAGAACTCATACCAGAGCTGCTCCCGCAATCCTTGCACTGTTTAAAGCAAGCGAAACATAACAGTCCCCAGAAACAGAGCATTAAAATACTACAGACAGTTATAACGGCAGCCAACGAAGCCGTGGTTTGAGATCTTCGGTCGTATAAGTCTTGTGATGTTGTACATTTTCCATGTGAGCAATGTTTTCTTGGTTTACAAGGAGAAGTTAGATCACAGCTTTGCCCGTAATGAAAAAAAGACACTAGTAATGCAATAAATAAAAAAATAGCTTGAGAATTCCACGTATAAGATCGTCTTTTCAGTAATAGTAGACTCATTTTAATCCCCTTGCGCCGAAGTCTAGTTGGTAATCACATATATCACGCAACAGAGTAACAAAAGCAATTTATAAGACAAAACAATGACGTCACGAAACGCGGTTTGGGCGCAGCGGTTTAATATCCGGGGTCACGTTTCCTTGACGATAGAAAAAAATTACCGTACCGGYGATTGGCTTTGAACTACTTRATGCGTAGTCAAGTTGGAATAAAGAGTCTTTTGTTTATAGCAGTGGGAACACTTTGTACCAGCCGAACTTTGTGTGGGCTTCCTGTGTCAACTGGGTCATTGACGTGACRTGAGGGAAGGAAATATCGAGAACTATTATGACGAAACGACTTAAGTCATACAAACATATGAAATGACGATCGACTTCAGACTTTTAATAGCTGAACGATTGAGTAATCTTTTTTTTTTTGTTATCTTCATAATAAACACGTACATTTTCAACCACGCAATCCCTAATTTGAAAATTGATTTACTTTTTTATACAAAAGTTGGAGTTAGAGGTTTAGTTTCGGTAGAAAATTCACCTCATCACTACTGCTTATTCAAATTAAGATATATATCCAATTAATTTATGTGTGTGATTAATATATGAACGGACATATTTGATTGATTGTGATCGTTTAGAATTGTTTGATTATAGCTGATTGATTGATTTATTCATTTATCCTTTGGAATTGATTTATTGATTGACCGACTGATCGATTGATTGATGTCTTACTGACTAGACTTTTGAACTATTGTGAGCGTATATCATACAAATTATATTTTAGAATAGTGTCTAATATAGTGAAGTACAGAAATGCTCAATACTACCTTTGGAACTTGCACATTACAAAATTACTTCTGAAAAAGCACGCACTACAGACGTGAGCTAGCTTATTTATTCGCCGTTCAGGAAGTAACGCCGCCAAAATGAGCGAAATATATACAAAAATACCCTCCTCAGCTTCGATATATGTTATTGTGTTATTTTTAAAACAGCTGAGAGAAGCATTAATAGAATAGCTTGCCGACACCCAAATCCCTCCCAGCTATAGGGATTTTCCCGCGTAGGGGAGATTTGGAAACGGATGTACACAGTTGGGTTAATCTAGGGAACATAACAGCATAATGCGATTGGATTCTAATGATTCTTGATACTTAATAAAAAGATAATTTATAAGCTGATTATTTATGCTAACGGCATGATATCAAGAATTATGCAGACCGTAGGTACGGTCTTAAAATGCTTCTATAAGATGTTTAAGAGTAATTATGCCACGTCCGGAAAACCACAGGTAGCCTAAAAACTCCAAACGTTCATAGCTATCACGGGATTTAGCCTCCTCTACAGGCAACTCTTTTTCCTCCTTTAGGCTTCCTTTGCAACGGTCATTTTGGCCGTTAGGGACTATTTTCTYGGCCCCATCCTCCCTCTTTTGACTCCTCAAAAAGACAGGAAGCCCGTGATTCTTAGTGATGCCTGCGGATGAGGCTAAATAATTTATTGTACTTTTAGTAGCAATAGTTTTCTTCATGGTACCCAGTACCATCTTGAAAGGTAGCCGTGCCTTTGCATCGAAGCAACTGACAACCGTTGAGCGCGCAATGATCGAAACCTTCTTTCACACCTACAGACAATTATTCACAGGTTTCTATCATTGTACGCTCAACGGTTGTCTCTCTTCGATGTTAAGWCACGGCTATTTTTCAAGATGGCGCACGTAACCGTGAAGGAGACTATTGGTACTATAAGTCTTACGGGTTAAGTCCGTTTTATATACAGGATGACCAAAGCATATTGTCAAGCTGCTCATTTCAATGGTCCTAGAATTTCAAATTCAGTTTAATTGATTGTTTCAATTAATGTCTGAATTTAAAGTTTAGTCAACAAATAAGCAAAAACCATTAGTACGGCTGAGCACACGCACGAGACGTCATGGTGTCAGTACAGTGTTTTTRTCCTCTTATTCACTCTCTAGTCAGCCAATCAGCGCACGGAAATTCACACAAGTGTAGTAAAATATATTTTTCAACGGATCATGGTTAGAGCATTAGAGTGTAAAATTGATTTATTGTTTTATGTCTATATTCTTTAAATTAATTAATATAAGCTTATTTTCTCATTTTTCAAGATTATGGAGGTAGGGGCTGGGAATGGTGGCGATGGGGTGCAAATCCACTCACTCCAATCCCCACATATCCKTATCTACATTCAAGTGTGACAGTGTTTATTTATTCATACTTTTGCATGTAATAATTTGTCCCAATTTTGTTTATATGACCATATAAAGCAATTTGTTGAAATAACTTGTCCCCCGTCTCTGCCAATTTTCAAAGTACCTTCCAAAACTTGGGTATCATCGCTGATATATTTTTCAGTTGTACCTCATCACGAGTACTTTCTAAAAAAATATCAGAAAGGGTTGTGGGATAAAATGGCGAATTTTTCAATTGTCAAAAGGCAGTTGACGACCGAAAAGAGCCATGTGTTTTGCTAATTGATGAGAAATTATTTATATGATTTTTTTTCACAAGTGATTTATACTGTAATAAGGTAGCCTCACTCTGTGGTAAACATTGGCTCCATTTTTTTCATTTTTATGCAAGGCGAATCCAATAACTGAAATTTCGTTCGCCAAAACAGTGTAACCATAGTCCCTTTCGGTCGTGCAATCTCCCTTCGACAATCGCCGTCCGTTCTCCCCAATGACGTGTTTTGAAATATTTGTATATGAATATTGGGCCTTGGGGATCAGAACTATTGCCAGTATATTTATATATCGTATATAGCTATACGCAGCAGCTTGGAAAACTGAGTCAGACTTGGAATCGTGTGCAATCGTGTAATCCAAGGCCGAAATGCATTGTTGGTTGTTCTATCGTCCAGGCTCGTAGGCTGGGGAGGTTCAGGGCCCACGGACCTGAGGTTCGGCCTCAGTATTCAAAGTTCTGTGAATAGCTCTGTATATTATAATAATCTAGATATTAATTCTTATAGTACATAATTACGTACAGAGTTTTTTTTTCTGAAAAGCGTGAAATACTAAATACTAAATTGTGAAAAATAGCGTGCTGAACAAAAGAAAATAAAAGAATTAGCATTAAAAATTGTATAAAATTGCCGACTTAAGATATTTTGGTTCAGTGAATTGCAGACGAGGCTCCKRGGAAATAAAAGAATAAGTCAAAATTATCCATTGTTTCCCTTGAGCCTCGTGTGCGATCTTACAAAGTCATCGAACCAAAATATCTTAAGTGGACTATTGTATTTCAAATCTTTTTTACTAAAAGCACTTAGAATAAAGCATTCTAAAAGGCTCTAATATAAAATATTACTGCACATTACTGTAATTCTCGCAGGTGATGCCTGCAGGCTAAAAGACTTATTGCGCGTGGTGGGGTTAAATTATGCAATAGACTCGAGAACAGACCACGCCACTAACCCTCCCTCAATTAATAATTAATAATCAGTTATGTCTAGTAAAATGGACACGTTTCGGCCATGCTCAGAAAGACTAGAAGTTGGACCTATTAATATTTTTTCTGAAAGTAGAACTTTCATGTATCGAGTTTTGACGTATATCATCTATCAATTGATCGTTTTCAATCATTCCAATGAGATTCAAAAGATAAAAGACCGGCGGCCATGTTGGAGGAATGAACAATAGATACTAWTGAGAAATCTTTTGTTGAAGTTCATCCAAGATGGCCGCTGTGACGTATGGTGAAAACGAAGAACAATTGCCGATCTATATTTCATATGGTATACCGTCACTGTGATCCCCTCTGGCGACCATAATCCTTAGCGTTATAAAACAATAGCATGTTTTGGTGTGACGTAATTATGCGATAAGGCAACTTGTTCTATATGGACCGACTGCGTATAGCAGTGGAAAGAAAGCTAAATATGCTAGAAATTTTCTTTAGAGATGTATTGAGAAATGTACGATCACTTGTTCCCATATCTTGTGCTTGTAAAGTTTATCGCGTGATTACAAATGAKATGACTCATCCAAAGAAATATTGTCAAACTCTTCGATTTCAGGAAAATCGTCGTCGCCGTCTTTGGGCTGCAAATCTTCCACACTTCTAGGGCTGCTCTCAACATCAGAAAGACTACTTGCAGCCCACCATTCGACCCACCAGATCCTCCCAGACAAAACATCCCTGCGGCGGCCTGGGAACGATGCTGATGACTGCATTGACTTGTAAGTGGGTAGCAACCCTTCATCAAAGATGGCGTCGCTTTCGTCGTGGTCAAGATCAAGTTCTTTTACATAGTAATTGGAATACGGCCATCGCAGGCTGACAACACTACGAGACGACAGTGAACTATCCAATGAAATCTTCCCGATTTCATTCTCGTGAACATCAAGCCTGACGGGGCATTTATCTTGGCCAAATCCCAAGTARTATTTGCGTACAGCATCATGGGGYTGGTTACCAGGGTCTTGTGCTGATGTCTGAAGCTCGTCACTGTACATTTGAGAAGCTTCGGGGTTCTTTYCCTCGYGTTCTTCAGATTCAATTTCTTCATTTTGAGATGTTTCGGATGTGGAGGAACCCGAGTCGTCGTCATCGTCATCGTACAAGTAATCGATGTCACTTTCAGCAGATGATATGTAGCTAGAATCATCACTATCATCATTATTCTCTAGCTCATTGTCGCTACCTTTTGTCGTACCGTCATCAGCATCATCTGGTTCGTCGGCATCGTCTAATTTTGGATTTTCGTCGTCGTCTGAGCTGTCGGATTCTGATCGTGAGTCGTTGTCTGAGCTGCGTCGTTTCGATGCTTTTCGCAWTACCTTTTTGGATGATTTYTTGCTATTTTTGGAATACGTCGAATCGTCATCTGATTCAACTGTAGATTCTTCGTCGGTTGACTGAAGACATAACTTGTCAATGTATTTCTCCAAATCAAACTCCTCTTCCTCGGAGAGCTCGGTCTCATCTTCATCAATGTCATTACCAGTCGGATATGCGTAGTTTGCACTCGCCTCTGACTCGTTCCCTTCTTCGGTTTCGCTGTCGGAAAATGGCACATCTGATTCTGACTCGGATTCAGTTTCAGTCATGACGGAATCAGATTTTTCGTCGTCACTATCGTCACCAGATTCGTCAACATCTGAGTAATCGTTATCCTCTTTGGAAGAAGCCCCCTCAGTATCCGCGTCCTTTGACATGATTCTACGAACTTCTTCATCCATGCTGTCGGTGTCCTCRGATATGCTTTTGAAACGTTCCTTATGRCYWSTTCCTTCCTTCTTTGAAACAGTTTTGACGTCCTTAGGGACGGTCTCTACCGGCTCCTCAGAGAGTTTTTCTTYCTTCTTAGTGACTGTTTCGTTTTCCTTAGGGACKGATTTTGWAWCCTTAGAGACAKTGTCGGYACTCTCGAACAATTCTTCTTGGTTTTCTTCATTCTCGAACACATCTGTAATGCTTTTGAAACTTTCAATCATAAGTTTTTCATCTATTGACGATGAATCTTCCTCCTGAATGGATCCCAATGTCGAATCTCTAGACAATCTTCTTCGTTTCATATCTGAATCTTCGCCGCTGGGGTCGCTCTCCTCGACCGAGCTGTTTGTTTCCGAACGCTTGGTGCTCTCTTGCACCTGTTCAGCACTCTGTTTATTTTTTTTCACCATACTGTGGCAATAACTGTACTAATTGCTGATTCARTGGAGATGTATTGTGTTAACGCCTAATAAAAATAATTAAAAATGTGAGGCACGACACTTATGATTATCATTCAAAAAACTTTAATTTCACAAGCAGGATTTGATATATAGCATTATTAGACTATGTCCAATCAACATGTTTCAATTTTTTGGTTTTACGTATCCAGCATTCTCTAATTTGAGTTGTTTTGTTTGTCTTGCACGTATCCRCATACCTTAACGCATCCGTGTATTTATATCTTAGTTTTAGTGCACGTCTTGAATTTTTAATGCTTTTTGTTAAGTCTACATTTCACACGTACTTCTTCGGCAATTCATTACGCATTCCCGCACACATTCACGCATTTCGTCGGTGATATAGTAGTACGTGACTTACGCTTTTCGTATAATATTCGCGTATTTCATAATTATCGTGAAAATTTACGTCTAAAATTCATCACGCATTTTAGTGGTTATAGAAGCTTCACATTAAACGTATTTTAGCGAAGTATGATCTACGTCTCACATTTACGTATCAACTTTAGCGGTTACGTACGTACGTACATGTCCAATATACTCTCGTCTTAAGCCGCCATACATGCACGTATATATCGCAATCTAACATTTTTTGTTGTTGACGATAAAAGCAGTCACTAAAGAGACGCACGTCTTCTGATATTGTTTTTCCTTTCCATAATAACGCTCCACAACAAAACAGGAGACGGTACGAAAATCAGCGTGGATGACGACTGAGTTTCGCAATRGTAACTTTACGTTTGCGCACATTCTCGTCATAGGTGCGTCCTATCTTAATATCGTTTTTAGTATTTTTATTTATTTTATCGTACTTATTTATTTATTTATTTTTTTGTTTCGGATAAACTTTTAGTACTATAATTATTGAATTTGGAAAAACTCTCGTTTCTTTCGAGTTATTTTCCACAAGAAGGCTAAATAATAGTTATAGATTTTACAGTATTGAACACTTTTTTGTATTTATTATTCATAGTGGTAAAAACTTAGAAGGAACTTTTAGTATTAGTGGAATTCTTACAAGATATCCATTAAAATTGGTTTTCGAGTATTTTTTCCCCTCAAGTTGTCTAAATCAACGTTATAGGTTATAAAATGCATAATTTGCTAGCTTCACAGCAAAAACTTCAAAAATGGAACAGAAGAGAATTAAGAACTTGTTGTCAAATGCAAGGTGAAAACCATCTAWAAAGCTATTTCATCATGATTATATTTTACAAAGCGAAYAAAATAAATTTTAAACTGTCGAAATGACTAACGCTGGAAGATTTGTGAATATTCAAAAAGATTATTTTCACTCATTAATGTTTCATGGAAAATAAGTCAGTCATGATTGCATATTAAGGAAACTTCGAGAAATTTAATTTTAAAAATATCCTTTTGTTTTGAAAACTTGACTCSGTACAATGAAATAAAATTGAATTGAAAATATTAGACTTTTCTGAGTTTCTGTCATGAAAAT